TGTAGCTAAAAATAGAGACTTGAATTAATGAAGAGATTCTTGGATAATTATATCTGACTCGATTTCCGAGTTCTTTACCAGGATCACTATCTCTGTATGATGGACAGAGAAGCCAGATCACAAGGAGCAAGAGGACCAAGAGACTAACGGTCAGTTAGATGTGCAGTACAGCACCGGCGTACCTGCATCTGCCTTTTCAAGAAGTGCAACCAGTATATCTGGCTTCAAGACTGACATTAATTCATTACTAATACAGCTTTCTGAGACTTAAAAAGCTACAGTGGCTTTTATACAAGGAAAACTTTTCCCTTTACCCTTTATAGAGAGCTGCATCACTAAGTCTAAAGGGCTTTCATGTTCCTGCTCTGCTCAATACAGTCTTGAGTATCTACAGGACTGGACTTGCAGTGGCTGACAAAGGCCTAGTCATAGAATCATAGAACGGTTTGGGTTGGAAGGGACCTCAAAGATTATCTAGTTCCAACCCCACTGCCATAGTCAAACTAAGAAATTCTGTTCAGATGAAGTAACCTATAGTGCGACAAACACCGGTCAAGTCTAACTAAAAAATAAGAAACTCCAAAGATTCAAACCAAATTTAGACCCTTATGTTGTTATGGATTTCTATGTCTCGCAGGTCTACCAAATCTAAATGTTATTTCTCTATTGTTGCAGAAAAAAATAACCTTACAATTGTGTAGTGAAAATTCAAAATAAGGTTCTTGCAGACTAAGAATGGAAAACAAAACGTAATGAATATTTACCCAATTGCCACCAGGTTTTCATGGTGAGGAGAACAAGTGAGACAAAAAATTTTCCGAGGCTCTGGGAAGAACTGCTGGCTGTCACTCCTGTTGTGCCAGTAACAAACAATTACACCTTTTTCATCACCCGACACGATCAAATCTTTCACAAGGGGCGACCAGTGCAATGCCGAGATTGCGTTCTGAAGAGAGAGAATTGAAGACATTTAAAGCTGGTTTACCACCATGGAACGCAGAATAACGGGCAGAAAATAATCTGGGAGTATCCCCAGCATCAGCTGAGTCAGTTCTAGAGCGTTTCAGTTCTTTTGGGCTTTGCCACGATCGATGTATTCACCGATATGCTGCCCTGGGTGATGGTAACTCTTCAAATGCCTGTTCTTTGTCCTGCATGCAACAATAACTCGGTGAGAAGACTTCAGGTGAGCTGGGTTGAGAGGCAATGAGCAGGCACTGCGAGCACTCCCGCTTACTGAGGCTCTGATGTAACTAACAGCTTACTAAGGTGATCAGAGAATGGTTTGGGTTGGAAGGGACCTCAAAGATCATCCAGTTCCAACCCCCCTGCCAAGGGCAAGGACACCCTCCGTTACACCAGGTTGCTCAAAGCCTCATCAAACCTGGCCTTGAACCCTTCAAAGGATGGGGCATCCACAGATTCTTTGGGCAACCTGTCCCAGTGCAGGCCTCAGGCGAGGACAGAACGCTGGCCAGAGGCGTTCAACGGTTTTACCTTCACCAGGTGTTAAATCCACCTTTGCTGAAGGAACATCGCCCCGTTTTGGGCGCAAGCCCTCGCAAAGCCCACCCGCCCCGCAAGCTGTTGCGCTCTCACCCTCCCCGCCCCCGCGGGCTCCCTACCCGGTGCAGGCCGTGCTCCGCCACCGGAGCCAGGCTCTCCGCGTCCCACACGCGGACACTCCCGTCGTCGGAGCTGCTGGCGCAGAGGCTGCTCTGCCCGGGGCAGTGGCAAAACGCGAACCCGGAGATCCTGTCCGTGTGCCCGATGAGCTCTCCTGCAGCGAC